GGGGGGGGGGGGGGGGGGAGAAAAAAAAGCAGTCGTGTGCCCATTTCAGCTCTGATACCGACTTTGTTTGTGTGTACAGGAGGAGCAGGACCAGGATCAGCCGGGAGTTGAGGTAAATGCTCATCTTTGAAGCTCCGCTAAGCGCTGAGGAGAAGGCCCTGCTCCTGCTGGAAGCTGGCGGGCCCCGCTGCGGCGGGGAGCTCTCTGTGAGCTGAGCAGGGCCAGAGGCCCAGGCTTGCACCAGGCTGGGGCTGGTTCCTGTGTGAGCCCTCCGGAAGGGCACGGCCCTGCTGCTGGAAGTCCCCTTCTTGCCCATGACTGTTGGAACCCAGCTTTCTTGTGTTTTAAAAAAAAATGTAACCTCTTTTTTTTCTTCCTATCCTGCTTATCGCAGACATCCCCTGTAGAAACTAGGGCTGGCTAAATTGAAGTTTGTCCCTTGTCTTTGCCTCCGGAGGTGTTTGCACTCCCCAGTAACGGCGGCTCTGGGCTGGAGGATGGCACAATACGATGCAGTGCAAGTTGTTCTTTAGAAGTTTATTTACATAGGAAATTGCTTCAAATTTTTCTATAATTACAGGCTGTGGGTGTTGCCCAAGGCTGGAAATAAGGCGATTTCTTTAAATCCTTTAATGAAAGAGGATAACGGTTGTAGGGGGAAGATTTTGGTGACCCTGTGAAGACGTAACTACATTTGGGGGTCCCGTTTGAGTCATTTAAGATCTGTCCTGTTTCAAATGATGTCATTTTAGTAATCAGAGATGGTCAGTAATGAATCGTGGCATGGTAATTCAATGCCAGTGAAGTGAGCGATCCAGGTAAATGCAGTAGGTTTCGGTAACGCCATCCGGAGGTCTGACACAGGGTACCCGGGGGGGTTGCAGCTGCTGTTGGAGTTCAGCTGGAAAGGGGAGACCCCACAGCCTCTGCCCCCAGTGAAACCAGCAGGTCGGGGTTGGAGAGACGCTGGCTGGTTTCACAGCCAAGCTCCTTTGCCTGTTCAGGAAGGCGAGGCGTTGCTGGACTCCCTGACGGGCCAGCCGCACCCCCAGGATATCCTGCTCT